CTCATATTTTGACCGATCTTGGTAAGCTTAAAACCAAAGCATCTATAAAGGTAAATAAAAACTATATGTTGGGAATGGACAAGCTCTAAAAATATCTCATATTGGAAATGGTAAACTCAACACTGGTCATGGAAGCCTTGATTTGAAGAATGTCCTAATTGTTCCTAGCATAAAAAGAACTTGATCTCAATTAGTAAACTTACTCATGATAATAATTGTTCTATTGTGTTTGCGGCTGACAGCTTTATTGTTAAGAATGCCCCAGAACAAACATTTGCAAAGGGGAATAAAGGTGAAGGATTATATGTCTTAGAGGAACACGAACTACTTGTTGCATTTTTTGCTTCAACAAAGGCTTCACACTCAATTTGATGGGGCATCTTAACGATCAAGCTCTAAAATATTTTTGCAAATTTTATCTTTATAAATATATCTAGACGATATGTGACCTGTCAATTGAGTAAAAGCCCTTATTTACCTTTCAACTCAAATAAAGAAATAAGTAGTGTTCCTTTGCATAAAATCTACTATGATCTTTGGGGCCCAGTGCCACTTATATCTTGTCAACATTTTAAATATTATGTTAGCTTTATCAATGACTATTCTAGATTCACTTGACTTTACCCTTTGAGAAAAAAATCTGACTTCTTACAAAGCTTTCAAAGGTTCCAAAAACTGGTAGAAAATTAGTTTAACAGGTACATTAAGATCTTTCAAATTGATGGAGGAAGGGAGTTTCAATCCACGGCCTTCAAAACTCATCTGGAACGACATGGAATTCAACAGCAATTGTCTTGTCCATGCACTACTCAACAAAATGGAGTGGCCGAGCGAAAAAATAGACATATCGTGGAACAAGTTTATCTTTGATCTTCCAATCTAAAATGCCTCTTAAGTATTGAGTAGATGCCTTTTTAACAACCATATATCTTGTAAATAGAATGCCCTCCAAAGTATTGAATATGCAAACTTCATTCCTTAAATTATTTGAAAAAGAACCGGATTATAGTGGTATAAGAGTGTTTGGATGTAAGTGTTTTCCTTACAAAACTACAACAAGGATAAGTTCTCCAAAAGAACCTACCATTTGTCTTTGTTGGCTATAGTCCTATACACAAAGGATATAGATGTTTAGATCCCAACAATAATCATATCTATATCTAAAAAGATGTTTGATGAAATTATTTTTCCCTTTGATAAAAATTCTAACAATGCACAAGAGAATCCCAAAACTCTTGCAATTACTGAATTTTTCAGGTATGGAGGGATGAAGTCAAAGAGAAAGAGAGAAAAAGAACACTTGTACGGAGACTAGCACAACTAGGACAGAACCAAGCAGCAACGATTGTGCCCCCATAAGCTTGATTCTAATGAAAACATGTTTGATTCTTCTATTCAAGAAGGAGAAAATGAGCTAACTGAAGAAAAAAGTATGCATTCTTCTATTGAAAAAGAGCAAAACTCAGAAACACAACCAGCTACAAAGGATGAACTAGAGGAAGAATCAAACCAAACAAACATGAGGACTATCAACCTATCTCAGGATGTTGTAAACTCACATCAAAATTATACAAGTGATAGAAGCATTTCAAACACCAAGGAAATTACCTCACAAGAAGTTGCCTCCTTACCTGATATAAGTACAAATTTGTTCGTTGACCTTGATTTTAAATCTGTAGGTATCCCATCAAATAGCCAATTATGGAGACAATTCCAATAATATCAGCAGCCATCAAGAGATAAACAATGAGAATGCATCTGCACTTGCTCACTCTCATCACATGATAACTAGGAGCAATCTAGCTTCATCCCCAATTCACCCTCAATTCACCTCAAGACAGACAAAACATAAGGAATGATAAGAGAAATCAATCCTACATGGCAATACAGCAAGTGAATGAACCAAAATCCTTCAAAGTAGCCCTCAAGATAGCACATGGAGGAAGCTCGATAATGTTGTTTTATGTTACTTTATGCTTAAAAATAGTACTTTTGGGTTTAGTTTGATACCCAAAACCATGCATTATGTTTTATCTTAGGTTATACATGCATAAATCACATTTTTATAACATTTAGAAATGATTTATGATAGAAATTGCGTTTCTACGCAGAAAACTACACCTAGGAGCCACGTGTCGTCCATGCAAGGAAGGTTGAATATTTGGTTGTAAATTATAAGTCAAACAAGTTAAACCAATGGATCTCCACGAATCTCTCAATCGTTCAACCAACTTGGAGCTTCCTATAAATTCCAGCTTGCTACACCTCCATTCTCATAAAGTTTTCTACGGTTCTTGATCACCTTACAAGCTTTCTGACAGCATAGATTAGGTTTATATTGACCTTCATTTAAGTTTATTTCTTTATTGTCTTCCTTTACTTTTTAAGAAAAACTCTAGCGTTGTTACACATTTTTGTGGAGTAGAACGAGTTATCACTCCTCTAAGCTCGAGAGAGAAAAGGTAAAATTCATTCAGATTGCAACTTCTCATTTACAGTTTCTTCCTTAGTATTGCAATCTTAAATCATGTTTTTTTATTGCAAAACCTTTACATTCTGTCTTTCCTTATAAATGAGCTAATTTAATTTTTCTAGCTCAATGATGGATGATTAGCTAATTCTATTAAACGAAACAACAAGAGTAAAAGACATTTTCTCACTCTTTCATCACTTAAGATGGTTTTATATAAAGTTTAAATTTTGACTTGGCCAACTAAGATTTGAACAAAGTCAATACTGAGAAGGTTGACAAGTTTTTACAACTTAAGGAATTAAACCAAAGAGAGGAAGGTTTTAGATATAAAGATTTTATTCAAGTAGCCTAGATATAGGACCTTGACATGAGATTGCGATTATTTTTAAGTCAAAACTAAAGGATTTTCTAATATATATATTAGGAAGAACTTAGAACTTCGAGATCACTTAAATATAAGCGAATCAAGAAGGAGAATCGCTAAATAACAAGAGAGGCGCCAGGCGCCCTAAGCTAGTCCCTATATTTTTCTAGCTAATTAGAAGTAGCTAGGGCTAGGTTTATTTCATTTAGTTTTAAAACAAACTAACTAATATTCACTTGAGTTATTTGTCACCTCGAATCAATTATAACTATCCGATCATTATTATTTCTAACAAAAATATTACATTAGTTCCTGAGGATTGATACTCGAAATACTCATTCCACTTATTACGAGGTGTATATTTGCGCTCTATTCATTTCGAATCGTAAATCCGAAACAAGATTTTGGCGTTGTTGCCGGGGACTATTTGTTTTTAGTCTTTTCTTAATTCTTGTGATTGGAATTCGTAGTTGTTGTTTTTGTTCTTAAAATGTTATTGATTTATATCTAACCTCAAGGGTTGCTATTTAGTGTATGAGCACAGGATCATTTCCTTTTTCCTTTGATCCTTAAATTGACATAATCTTTCGTAGGTTGAGAAAAGAACAAAGACTTAGAAACTAAAACATCGAAAAAGAGAGAGAAAACTAGGAGAAGATATTTTTATTCTTTTATCCAACAGAAAGTGCTTGAGATGATTCATTTTTAGCTTGGAATACTCTAGTTCCATCGATGTTTCAAATGCAACACAACCAAGCAATGAGAAGTAACTTTCCATAGTTGATGAGAATTAAATTCCTTGTATATATTGTGGCGATAACCATTTATATTTGTATTTTCCATTTAATCCTAATTCTATTTATTTTGTAGGTCAACAACAGAACCAATGAAACTCAAGCCCTTATTTGAACACCTACGACCAAAATTGTGGAGATCATCCAAATTTCTCACGAGGAGGACAATATGATGAAAGTTATTCTAATCCTATCCAGCAATACTAGTAAATATTCCTACAAGAATTCTCAATTCAGCCTCAGCAAGAGTATGATTAATAATGGATGCCAGAACAGATACAATCGTCACAAAGTTGTAGCCTTGAAGAGATGATAATAGAATATACGGCGAGAATTGACACTATAATTCAAAGTCAAGCAGTCTCATTATGCAACCTACATATCTGAATAACGAAGTTGGTCGATGAGCTGAGGAACATTACACCAGAAGCATTGCCTACCAACGTGGAACCCTCAACGCAAGAACAAGAAAAGCAAAGTGAGGCAGTGAACCTATGAAGATTGTGCATTAACTGCATCACTTACACTTTCCCAAATTCTAGCAAATAACCATTTGTGATTAATGTTTCCTAACTCTTTTTCTCTTTTTGCCTTTATAACTCTTCATTTGTATTCATGTTTAAGTTCAATTGTAACTCCTAGATTTAAAAAATTTTAGTCATTCTTTTCAACAATATAAGAGTTACATTATAAGAAAGTCATCAATTAGTTGTTTTCATTAATTTATTTTCTTGTTGGATATCTGAATTTTTCCATAAGTAACATTTACTTGTTTGTGTCTAACTGTGCTCCATCGATCGGATTGCAAACTATCTTAGCTTCTCTATTTTCAAATTGAGAGGTGAGATTGAGAGCAAACATAAGTGGCCTAAACTTCTTTAAGTGATAACACGTGAGGGAGTGTTGTGAAGCTCTTTGTATCTCATTAACTTATTTTTTTTGCAGCAATGTATCACGAAAGACAAAATTCATACAAATCAATGTCTTCTCATAGATGACAACGTCATGAGAACCACTATAGTGAAGATCCATATGCAAAGGAATTGGCTGGGATTCGCAAATCCGTAAATTACCAAAATGTTAAGAAATCCTTGGGAATTGTATTTAATAACCTTGTTGACAAATCAGACCTTTAGATACAAACTCAAAAACCCCAAAACAATAATCGAACTAACTCAAGGAAAAATTTAAAAACGGATTACCTTGATGATTAATATCAAGAGTAGAGGAAACTTGTTTCTAAACTCGTGATTCAAATCACTCCACAAGAGGCTCATCAACACAACTTGAATTATCCTAACATGAAAATTCTAAAGACACAAGAAACTGCACAAGAAATGAGAGATGAAGCTCTCAACTAAGCTAATGAGAAAGCTCACTTTTCATTCAAGTTTCAAATTGTGTCTACATAAAGGAACCTCAAGGCTATATGCAGCCCTCCTGTCATGCCATATGAAGAGTCTTAAACAAATGGAAAGACTTATAACTTACAAGAAATGAAAAGACTTGTAAATGAAAAAACATAACTTACAAGAAATGAAAAGGGTTGCAAATGAAAAGACGTAACTTCAAGAAAGGGAAAGACAATCAAATGAAAAAGCCAACAAAATGGAGAGCCAACAAAATAAATTGCAATCTAGTCCATAAAGAGAGATGTGAGTGTTTGACTTAGATTTTGAATTGAATGAACTGACTTTGATTTGACTTGAATGAGCTGGCTTTGACCTTGACCAAGTTGAATTTTACTTGCCTTAAAAATACTTAGAAATGCATAAGTTGCACCAAATTATAGTGAATTATTCCAATATCTTGCACATCTTGCACATCTTCCTTTAATTCCATTGTTGAGCTCACCAATGCTTGAACACGAAGTAGTAAGGCTCGTTGAAGTTTCCTAGCTCTTGATCTTGTAATCAGTCTATGAGGCATGTCAAAGGGAGCCCATTGGTTCATATCATCCTCTCGCTCTTCAAAAGAATTCCTCCTCGAATTGAATTTGTCACCTACATCAAAATAAGACAAATAAAAAACATTAAAAGTAACACTCACCCCATACCAACCTGGCAAATCAATCGTATAAGCATTATTATTGATACGTTTAAGGAATTGAAAAGGACTATTTTTTCCCATATAGCAACTTAGACCTATGTTGAGTTGGAAACCATTCCTTTCGGAAATGTACCCTAATCCAATCCCCATATTGGAAAACTACGAGCTTGCGTCCTTTGTTTATGTGAGAAGCAACCTTAATGTTTTGCTTCTCAATCCTTTCCTTAACTTCTTTATGTAGCTTATGAATAGGATCAATCTTTGTCTAGCATCAAAACTAATAAATTCATTAGGAGGCACAGGCAACAAATCCAGTGGAGTGATAAGATTAAAGCCATATACAACAGGCGGTGGTGCCACCATCTGCAGGCCTAGAGCATGTTGCCTGCCATTGGAGCTCAGCGTGCTACCTGTCACAATCACACTTTAACATGACTCAGAAAGCGATTTTGTGGCACTTGCTTCCACCCTCTAGCAAGTCGGCCAATATGAAATCGAATAGTCGGCTGTATAACGGTTATATGTCGCAACCTCTACCTCCATTCTCGAGAAAACAGTTTTGGAAAACGGGATTAGAGAAAAAGGTTTTGGAAAACGTTTGAAAGCATTTTGGAAAGTTGTTGTAAGTTTGAATGCAAGAGAATAGGTTAGCGGCAAGACAAGAATGCAACGCAATGTAGAGAGGATGACTAGGTGTACCCTTCTATAGTACATTCTAAGGCATATTTGCTCTGGCAGGCATGTACGTGCAAAGTGGCGAGAGTCATTCGCCACCAAAAGTACAAGAAAAATAAAATAACGTGCAAAACTAAATACATGGCATAAAAGTATGTGGAAAGAGGTTGTTATGGACATGCGACCACAGGCAACAGGTCCTGGACGAGCATGACCTTGGCGGGCGGTTTCGCCCCTCGTAACAATTCAATTTAATGGTCTATCTCCCGCCTTGGAGGTTGGGCCTTGGGCAGGCTATCTGGCATAACATCTGCATACACATCTAAGACACGTTGGATTTCTCGGGGAACTAACTCTTCAGAGTTTCTGTCTTCCACTACAGGTATGGTCATGAACGTTGGTTCATCATGAGCAAGACCTTTATTTAGTTGGAGTACTGATATCATCTCCACTCTGCTTGGTTATTTGATGCTTGTCTGAACAACCATAGGATCGGACCCCATTACAACCAGACACTTGGTGAGAGGCATGGGGATCACTTTGTGTTCCAACAAAACTTCCATTCCTAATACTACGTCAAAGTCATCCATCCGCACTTTCACAAAATCGACTTGTCCACTCCATGCTCCTAGTTTTACTGAGACTCTCTTAACAACTCCCATGATGGGGAGGGCGGCCGAGTTGACAGCTTTCATCTTTCCTGTGTCCTTATCCCATCACAAGTTCAAAAGATGCGCTTCGATTTCAGTCATGAAGTTGTGGGTGGTGCCAGAATCTACCATAGTGCTCTTTGCAGCTTTCTAGTTGACCCACACTTCAACGTACATCAGTCCTTGTTCCAGTGGTTCTTTCACCCCCTCAACTTTCTTCTGAAGAGCCGACAAGAATTTTAGTGTTTCCATACGGGGGTTGTCATCGACGTCTTCGAGAGGTGTATTCCTTTTAGGGCCTTCCTACTCGATCTCTTGATTGTTCGTCAATGTGGCTTGGAAGGCCCTGAAGGCGACTCGATTCGGACACTTGTACACTCTATGCTATCCTTTACAAATGAAGCAAGAGGGTCCTGTCCTGTTGTTATTATTTTGTGGGTTCGATAATCTCCATGTATTTCCACCCCTCTGCTGGAAGAGTCTGCGGTCTCCCCCTTCGTTTCTGTCTGCTCCCCCACTTTTGGGGGATCTTGATCTAGCAGGTTTGTTTCCACCGCTAGAAGAAACATGTGTCTTTCTCTGTTCTTGCGATGTATCGTTGCTGAGATCAAACAATCGTTCGGCTGTGGCATAAGCGGTAGTGATATCTTGCACTTTCTGTTCATACAGTTTATCCCGAGCCCATGGTTTCAAGACTTCCACAAAGGCAAAGACCTTGTCTTTCTCAGACATATCACGAATGTCCAACATCAATCCCAAAAACTACTTTACATAGTCTCGAATATTTCATGTATGTCGCAGTTCCCGTAGTTTACGGCGGGTAAAGATCTCTACATTTTCTGGGAAGAATTGTGATCTAAGTTCCTGCTTTAGTTTTTCCTAGGTGTGGATGGTACATCTACCTTCTTGTACATCTATATATCTCGCTCTCCACCATAACTTCGCATCGTCAGCAAGATGCATTTTAGCTAGTGTGATTTTCGATTCCTCTGTCACAGTGCTTGTCGCCTTAAAATATTGCTCAAGGTTGAAGATGATGTTCTTGAGATTTAGCATCTCGCGCCCCACAGAAAGGCTTGGGTTCTAGAACTTTCACCTTGTTGAACTGAATAGGTTCCCCAGCTGGGGCTTGATTTCCCACTGCTCTCATAGTGAGATTTACTTTTGTACCTAATTTGGCAATCTCCGTCCTCATGTCGTCAATGGCAGCTTTGAAGTTGTCGATCAGCTCGCTAACCATCTGAACAATAGTCTTTTGGGAGGTGTCCAGTTCTCCAACACGCTCCTCCATGTGGGCGATTGAGCTCAATGAGCTTTCGCCACGCTCAAGGTTATCGGTTCGCTTAACCTTACCTTCAAGGGTCTCAACCCGAAGCATCAACTCACGTACAGCAAGCCCATTTATACGGGCATTCACGGCGTCAATTCTGTCAACTTTGGTAGAGATCTCATCCAGCCAAGATTCCACATATCCAAGGTTGTCATGGTTTTCCCTTAAGAACAACAGTTGTTCTTCGATCTCGACGAGTCTGTCAACGTAGGACTTGCCCAACTGCTTTGTCGAGGACATGGTTATGTTTTCCAACTCGATGAGCCAACTAGTCTCTGATACCAACTATCACAATCGCACTTTAACGGGACTCAGAAAGCGATTGTGCAGCACTTGCTTCCACCCTCTAGCAAGTCAGCCAATACGAAATCGAATAGACGGCGGCACGACGGCTATATGTTGCAACCTTTACCCCCGTTCTCGAAAAAACGGTTTTGAAAAATGGGGTTAGAGAAAAAGGTTTTGGAAAACATTTGAAAGTATTTTGGAAAGTTGTTATAAGCTTGAATGCAAAAGAATAGATTAACGGCAAGACAAGAATACAACACAATGTAAGGAGGATGACTAGGTGTACCCCTCTATATTACATTCTAAGGCATATTTGCTCTGGTAGGCATGTACGTGCAAAGTAGCGAGGAGTCACTCGCCACCAAAAGTACAAAAATAAATAAATAACATGCAAAACTAAATACATGGCATAAAAGTATGTGGAAAGAGGTTGGCATGCAGCCACGACAATAGGCCCTGGACGAGCATGACCATGACACTACCCATACTTCGGAGACGGAAACGCGTATCCCCTGCCATTGCAGCGTACAGTGTGTAACCGTCTACGGTCCCCACCTCTTTGAGGTGGACACGCGTCCTGCTCGGTTTTACCCTCAACAAATATATTTTAATTTATTTTATTACTATTTGATTGGTATTAATATTTTTTATCTTAACAATTCATTTAATACTAATAATTAAAATAAGATTTCATCAACAAAAAAGAATTAATATAATTTTTATTGAATAACCATATTATTAAAAAAAATTAATATTTAATAATTATTATTCTATTTTTTAGTAATTGTATTGATATCATTAATAATAAAGTAAAATTAAATAAAAGCCCGTAGTATTTCATTATAAAATCACACAAATAAGAATAGATAGATGAGGGAGGAGTACAAAGTGTAAAGTAAAAGTATAAAGTAATTATGGAAAAGGTGTAGAACCCATTGAATAAGAAATATGAATGAGATTGATGATTTTTTTTTTTTAAGAAAACGAAATTATTCTGGGTCGTTTGTTTCATGGGAATCCAAGATTTCCATTATATTTGATGGACATTTGAATTCACACATTTATTTCAAAAATGTAGAATACTTAGTATTCCTAGGATGTCTACATGGGAAGACATTTAACTTGTTTTGGATGTCCTTTTGAAACAGGATTTTTAAGATTTCATCGTTTTTTCTAATAAATTAATGTACACATTTACAAATAAAGAACTTTATATATTACATATAGATATATAATAAGCTTCAATTAAATTATATAATATCTCCATTTATTTTTAATATTTTGAAAGAATAATTATTAATAATTATATATATTATCTTAAATATATAAATTTAAAGTAATTTTTTTAACAACCAACATTCATTTGATATTTTTCTTCCTAAAAAAATATAATTTTATAATATGATAAATAAATTTCGTCCAAGATAACATCAATTATATAATTGTCTTTTTTAAAAGAAATTAAAGTAAAAAATGAAATTTAATATTAATAATTTTTAATAGAAGTTATACTAATATGAATTAATTTGTTCAACAAAAATAACCGACAAAAATTAATATTAAAAAATATGAAATTAATAATACAAATCTATTATATAAATGTAAATATATTAAATTAATGTATGAATTAGATGAATATTTCTAAGTACATTTTTATAACATTATATAAATTTAAAACATTCTTAAGAATAAATCTTGCAAAACCAACATAACTAAATATTCTTGAATATTTTTATAAATTTTCCTACGAACAAATGTGGCTATCTAACAATATCATACATTTAAAATTTCAGACATTCGAAGAAGTTAGACACTACTAAAAAAATGACCCAAGAAGAGTGATTCTTAAAAGATTTCACCAATTAATTCTATTCCTATGTTTTAGTAAACACTATCAAAGAAAACTTAATTCTCATTCCTTGAAGTAAATGGAGTCTTAATCCTTAACAAGAATATATGACCTGCCCATTAATTCCAGTTCTACTTTATGAGAATGCCAGTTCAATTTTTTGTCTTGCACTCACCTCCCCACCAAATTTCTTTACCCCAACAAATTAAACAGATTCTTGGGTTTCGAGTCTCGTCCCAGCTGTCTTTTTTGTAGCCCAACGTTTGAATAATAACCTTAATCCACACCAACTCCAGCTGAGAATCAATTAAATTGAATAAAAATATTATGATATATTCAAACATGTAACTTAGGTCTTCTTATATGGGAGAATGACCTACTACAAACAAGGAAAGTAATAAATACCATAAAGACTAAATATTAACAACTAATATGGACAACTAATATTTACACAAATATTAATAAATCCAACACTCCCCTCAAGCTGGTTTGAAGATGTCGTCCATAGCCAGCTTGCTGGGAATTGTTTCTTTGGAAGTTCCTTAGTTAAAACATCGGCAATTTGCTCTGTTGTCGGAAGATAAGGGATACATATTGCACCTACATCAATCTTCTCTTTAATAAAATGTTTGTCAACCTCGATATGTTTGGTTCGGTCATGTAGCACAGGGTTATAAGCTATAGATATGGCAGACTTATTGTCACAATAAATCCGTATAGGTGTTTTCTGAGGAATCTTCAATTCTTCAAGCATCCTTCTGATCTATATACCTTCACAAATTTCATGAGCCAATGCTCTAAACTCTGCTTCAGCACTACTCTTGGCCACTACATTTTGTTTTTTACTCCTCCATGTAACTAGATTTCCTCCAACAAAGGAACAGTAACTAGAAATAGATCTTCTATCGGTAACACTTCCAGCCCAATCTGCATCAGTATAAACTTCTACTTGGAACTGGTTATTCTTTTCGAATAAAATACCTTTTCCAGAAGTTCCCTTCAAATATCTAAAGATTCTGTAGACAACTTCAAAATGAGTTGGTCCAGGAGCATGCATGAATTGACTTACCATACTTATAGCAAATGCAATATCTGGTCGCGTATGTGATAGATAAATTAATCTTCCTACAAGTCTCTGGTATTATTCCCTATCCTTTATTTATTCTGCGTTTGCCGCTTGTAATTTCAAGTTAGGTTTAATAGGAGTTTCTGTGGTCCTACAGCCAAGCAATCTTGTTTCTCCAAGTAAGTCAAGGACATATATTCGTTTCAATCTTGCGAACTTCATCCCTAGAAAATATTTTAATGTTCCCAAGTCTTTGATTTGAAACTCACTTGCCAGATTTTTTTTAAGATCAGCTAGTCCTGCTTCATCATCACCAGTGAGAATAATATCATCTACATAGACAATCAGAATTGAGATTTTATTATTCTCAGAGTGTTTATACAATATAGTATAGTCAACCTGACTCTGAAGAAGTCCATAACTCGATATGACTTTTCTGAATCGTTCGAACCAAGCTCTAGAAGACTCTTTGAGACCATAGAGAGATTCCTTTAATTTGCAGATTTTATTCCATCCAAGTTCCTTTACAAAACCTGGTGGCAAATTCATAAAAAGTTCTTCCTCGAGATTGCCATTAAGAAAAGCATTTTTCACATCAAGCTGGTGGAGAGGCCAACTGCAAGAGACAAAAGAATTCTAATGGAGTTAATTTTTACAACAGGAGCAAACGTTTCCTGATAATCTATCCCGTAGGTTTGAGTGAAGCCCTTAACTACCAATCTAGTCTTGCATCTCTCGATGCTACCATCTGCATTACATTTTACGGTAAACACACATTTACATCCCACTGGTTTCTAATCTTTTGGCAACTCTACTATCTCCCAAGTACTGTTTTGCTTTAGAGCATTCATCTCCTCCATGACAGCTAGTTTCAAATTTGAATCTTCTAAAGCTTCATGTATATTCCTTGGAACAAACAAATTAGTTATCCTAAACGTGTCGCCTTATGACTATTTGATAGTTTTTCATATGAAATGTAGTTCGAAATAGGATATTTGGTACAACTTCGAATGCCTTTTCTAATGGCTATGGGAACATTAAGATCAGAGACAACAAGTGAATTATTTTGAAATTTTGAAGAAGATGGATTACCAGAAAAAGTTGAAGAGGGAGGATTATTAGACAGTTCAATTTCATTTCTCGGAGTCTCAGATTGGCATTGTGGAGGAGTAACTATTTGATCTTGGTTCCTCTGATTGAAATTCCTTCTAGTATAAAACTTTAACTCAAGAACTAGGATTCGCAGAATCGTTTTATAGTATTTCTCCCCTTGATTGAAGGGTTTCTATACTTGGCATCGAAGGACTAGTAAAATCCGAACAGACAGGGCTAGGAAGAGGAACAGAAATATCCCAAAAATTATATTCCAAATTCATTTTCTCTCCTGAAGAGAATTTTGGGTGAAATATGGTTGATTTTCCAAAAAAGACAATCCATACTCACAAAAAGTTTTTTTTGTCTGAGGATCAAAACATTTATAACCCTTTGACCTGAAGCATAGCCTAAGAAAATACATTTAATAGCGCAAGGATCAAGTTTTGGCCTAAAATGACTAGGTGTGTGAACGTAAGTAGTACACCAAAAACTTTGAGAGGTAGATCAGAATATATGCAAGATGTTGGAAAGATATTTTTAAAGGACTCAATGGGAGTTTTGAAATTTAAAACTTTAGTAGGCATTCTATTTATTAGGTAGGTGGCTGTGAGAACCGCTTCCCCCCATAAATATTTTGGAACATGCATAGAAAACATTATAGTACGTGTTACTTCAAGTAAATGTCTATTTTTTCTTTCAGCAATCCCATTTTGTTGAGGAGTATCCCGACAAGTAGACTAATGAATCATACCTTTTTCTTTCAAAAAGTTACCCAAAAACTCATTAAAATACTCAGTTCCATTATCATAATGTAAAATACAAATTTTTGTTTCAAATTGAGTTTCAATCATCTCATAAAAGTTTTTGAAAGTATTTTTCACCTCAGATTTTTTTGACATTAAATACATCCAAGACAGGCGAGTATGATCATCAATGAAAGTAATAAACCATCTCCTTCTACTATGAGTACTGATTTTAGAAGGACCCCAAACATCACTGTGAATCAAGTAAAATGGTCTGGAAGCTTTATAAGGTTTTGGAAAATATGTGGAGCGATGATTTTTTGTTAAAACACAAATTTCACAATTAAAAGATGAACAATCAATTTCCTTAGATAACTTGGGAAACAGATATTTTAAATAGAAAAAACTGGGATGTCCTAGTCTACGATACCAAAGCACAATTTGTTCCCTAACAGAAAGAGAACTAATACTATTAAGACCCTGAGTTATTTTATTATAAAGGTACCTTCATCAAAGTAGTAGAGACCATCAAGCATCCTACCGCGGCCAATTATCCTCTCCGAGTTCTGATTCTGAAAAATACAATGGGATTCAAAGAAAGTAACACGACAATTAGAATCTTTAGAAAGTTGGTTGACAAATAAAAGATTACAGACTAATTGTAAAACATGGAAGACAGACGGTAACAAAATGGTCTCTATCAATTTAATGGTTCCTTTTCCTGCGAAAAACTACCATCTTAAATTCTAACTTTTTCATTGGAATATGAAGGAATGTATCATTCAAAGAGATTAGAAGAACTTGTCATATGATCGAAGCTAACAAAATCTATAATCCATGGAGATGAGAGTTACTACACGAGAAAGCCTTAGAATAAATACCTGTTTGTGTCAAGGATATACATGAATTATTTGAAGCTAAATTGGTGGATAGCAATTTCAAGAGTCGATGAATTTGTTCTATACTTGAGTCACTATTATTGTCACCGAACATTCTTCTATTATTGTTCGCAGAAATTTGACCCATTTTAAATGAACAAACTGTTCTGAACCAAGGTTGTCAACTGAACCAAATCAGATAAAAATTAACCAAACCAAATCAGGCAATAAAGAGATAAAGGAGAGTCAAACCAAACCAGAAGCAGACCGAACCAGCAAGACCAACTCACAGCACTAAACCAAACCTCATGAACCGAACCGGACTAGTGTTTAAAAAATAGAAACACACTTGAATCTGAAATCTTTTAGGTTTTTGACTTCTGGATGTTGAGGAGGCGGTAGTTGCTGTGTCCACAAAGAATAGATCTATGGAGAAGAAGCGGCGTACGCGTTGGGAACAGATCGATGGACGGGTGGCAGACAGAAGTGTGCGACGGTGAACGGCGGCGGTGAACGACGACAGCGAATGGATGATGAACGACGACCTAGCGAACAACGGCGGTGGATGAATAGATAGAAAAAATTTGTGAATGATGCCGACGAATTATGATTGCGACGGAGAGAACGATTATGTAGATCGACGGAGAGGACGATTGCGACGAATTTGCTCTATACTTGAGTCACCATTATTGTCACCAAACATTCTTCTATTATTGTTCGCAGAAATTTGGCCCATTTTAAATGAACAAATTGTTCTGAACCAAGGTTGTCAACTGAACCAAATCAGATAAAAATTAACCAAGCCAAATCAGGCAATAAAGAGATAAAGGAGAGTCAAACCAAACCAGAAGCAGACAGAACCAGCAAGACCAACTCACAGCACTAAACCAAACCTCATGAACCGAACTGGACTAGTGTTTAAAAAATAGAAACACACTTGAATCTGAAATCTTTTAGGTTTTTGACTTCTGGATGTTGAGGAGGCGGTAGTTGTTGTGTCCACAAAGAATAGATCTATGGAGAAGAAGCGGCGCACGCGATGGGAACAAATCGATGGACGGGTGGCAGACAGAAGTGTGCGACGGCGAACGACGGCGGTGAACGACGACAGCGAACGGATGATGAACGACGACCTAGCTAACAACGGCGGTGGATGAACAAATAGAAAAAATTTGTGAATGATGCCGACGAATTATGATTGCGACGGAGAGAACGATTATGTAGATCGACGGAGAGGGTGATTGCGACGAGCTGGAGATCGATCAACGTCGTGACGACATGTCTGTAAATGTGACATCGGTGGATTGACGGTGAAGATGGCGGAGCGACGACAACAGCTGCGTTGCCATGGAGAGTTCGCTGGAGGTAGACTTACCAGAAGGAGGAATGGATGATGGCTACGGTTTTGATTGTTGGCTAGGATTTTAAAATTAGGGTTTGGTATTTTTTATGATGGCTAGGGTTTTGAGAGTTAGGGTTTATTTCTTAAGTTCTGATACCATTTCAATTTGAGTGAATAAAAATATTCTGATATATTCAAACATGTAACTTAGGTCTTCTTCTATAGGAGAATGACTTACTACAAACAAGGAAAGCAATAAATATCATAAAGACTAAACATCAACAATAAAGACTAAATACTAACCACTAATATCTACACAAATATTAATAAATCCAGCACAAATATTATTGTAATCATTAATAGACAATGTAGCATAACAAGCACAACTTGATCTAATTCAACCATCCTTACCACTAAAACTGCTATATACAGGAACATTGCTAACCAAATCCTTCACATTCACTCTTTTGCAAAATGCAATCGCAATATTAAGCATCATTGTATTTAACATAGCCTATCCTAAAAATATGACATAAGACAATTATGACATATAACATAGTTTCGTTCAACAAGTTCCAAGGAGTAAAATTCCAATATATAACATAATCTAGTTAAACAAGCTCAAATGGGTATAATCTAAGATTCATAGAAACTTTAATGGATAGATTGTATCTCATAAATTGAATATGTTTCAAATTCAAATAACTTGATGCATGATGGTCTGTATAAACAGGTGAAGTCTATCTTAGTCTTTACCCTCTTCTTTGAAACAGTTTCAAAAGAAACAGAGACTGTTTCAAAAGAAACAGAGAAAAATCACGACAATTCCCAAACAAGGCTTTAGAATTCCTTGCCATATTCCCAATTAACTTGGTAGATGATTCTCAAATTGATAGAATATAGTTGTACAATGTTATTGCTACAAATCACTATTTCAAATCAGCAAATAAGGAGAAAAACTTGCCATTGCAATTTCTAATTGCGTGAATATAGAATTCTAATTCCAATACAAATTCCCCTAGAGACAAAATTTCAGAAAGAATAAGATTTACTTTCACAATCTTCCACTATTCACAAGCTTCCAACTATTCACTCTCAAGCTTTGTAATGTCTCCTTCACTATAAATAGCTTCAACAAACCAAAGCCGTAAATCTCAGTTTAGCGGATCTTCATCAAAAAATTAATTTAAAATTTAAACCGAATCAAAGAAATTAGACTATGAAATGGCGAGCATTTTATCCTCAGCAGCAACTATTCTGACGCATATGTGATGATTTACGAACAAAAAGAAAGAATGAAAAATCACAATACCCAAAGATTGACGAACTGCAGCGTTCATCGGCGTCCAGCGGCGACCACGTTCACCGGCGGGGACGGCGTTCAGCAGCGGCGACGGTGTTCTACCCTCAACAAGATTCAGCGGTGTTCGACCCTCAAAAGGCGTCTATCTTCAACAGTCGTGTTCGACCGTCACCGGCGGCATTCGCGGTGGCTGATCAATCAGGCGATGTGGTCTTCACAATGGAGAAAGAGGATAAAGAGATTTAGGACACAGGAGAAAGGGAAAGATATTTAGGAAAAAAAATAAAAAAAATAATGAAATTTGACCTAAAAACAAAATTTGTATATGTTTTGAATAACTATTTTTTATTTTCTGTGTTTAAAGAGTTAAAAAAATTCAAAATATATATTAGCTCGATAGAGTGTAGATGATAATGGTGTGGGGCGGGAGTGAGATGTCCTCTCCCATTCGTGTCCATGAAAAATGTCGAAGGTCCTGTCAAAAGCCCAACCTATAAATAGATACCTCTTTTCTCATTTTTAGGTATGCAGAATTATATCCTTCACTTGCATTCATTCGTCCTTAAAGTCAGTTTGTCATTGCTGACATTCACATAATTGGTCAAATTTTTTATGAATCAGTGGTTTAACTTGAAAACATATAGGAGTAGAGGTGGGGTATACATATGACACTCATTTGAAGCTAAACAAGTTTGCAGTGTTTGCATAACATTATAGGATATACAAGTTTGGTTTGCATAAGTTTTGATAATTATAGTTTCATAAATTAATTTGTTAGTCATATTCTAGAATATATAATCAATGAAATGGATATTATAGTTCTACAAGACTTGGATTTGGATAACTCAAAACAAAAAGAGTCTCTCATCCTGACTTGAAAACCAAACCCATGAGATGAGAATCATCCTGATCCAACCAACAAGTAATTGACTGTACTATCATCTAACCAAAATCAAACTCAAAATCAAAATACTCTCACTCAGACTAATATGGATATGATTATTGAAAAACAAGCCTAAGCCTAATCCTAATAGGGTGGGTTGATTAGAAAATTTTTGTTCAATTATATGGAGCATCAGCGAGACCAATATGGAGCAACAATAATTGAAAACTGAGTTAATTTCAAAGGCATATGAAGCAAGAATCATAACCCATTTACATGGATTGTTTCAGAACTCAGTGGCAAGAAATAAGAAAAAAATTCAACTAATGCTTTATTGAATTAGACTGAATTATTTGAAGTTAAAAGATCACTGATCTCAACTTTTGGGAGCCCCTAAATAGTTAAGACACACTGCAAGTTCTCATGAAAAGCTAATTTACTTCAGAGATAAATGCAAGGGAGGCCGAGTAAAGAAAACGCATAACTTAGCCAACTTATGTCAACAAGTTGTTCTAAGCTCAAATTGGTCTCTAAAAGCTTAGAAGAAAATAATTAAACCGCCATGATACCAGTTCCATCTCACACGCAATGTAGAAAAAACAATTATTCCTTATTCTATCATCATCAGATCCCCAAATTCCATAACACCTTTATATAGGAGTTGGAATTCTTTTAAGAACTAATTCAATTGGTTCGTTACATCAGTTCCCTTTATACTCTCTTCCTATAAATACTAATAATTTCTGTTATGTAAATTGGTTTTTTCAGAACTTAGTTACAGAGAGAGATTTGCAAAACAGAGGGTGTAGAGTAAATACCTCTTATTGTACTACTATTATATCACCTTCCAGCTTATTGAATAAAATCCCTAGCTCTCCTTGTAAGGTGGACGTAGACCAAACCTTGGTCGAACCACTATAATCATTCTTGTCGTCTTCTTCTTGTGTGTTGCTTTATTTTTCTGCATCAAATGGTATCAGAGTCTTTGTGATCTTGAAGAAATTTCTCTCTTTACAAATTCCAGAAATTCGACTCAACCCTCTGTTCTTCGAATTCAACCGAAGAAATTCAGCATTCATGGCTGCAAAATCCGAACTTGAAAAATTCGATGGAAAGGGAGATTTTAACTTATGGCGGAAGAAACTAAAGGCAATTCTTGTCCAACAGAAAGTGGCCAAGATTCTTGAAGAAAAATTACCAAAAACGATAACTCCAGAGAAAAAACAAGAAATGGAAGAAACTGCTTTTAGCACGATGATCTTGTACCTTTCAGACAACGTTCTCCGTCAAGTGAATGAGATAGAAACTGCTGTGAGATTATGGAAAAAACTGGAAGACCTCTACCTCAGTAAGTCTCTATCTAGCAAAATTCTATTGAAACAGAAATTCTTTGGATTTCGTATGGATCCATCAAAGAATTTAGAAGAAAATTTAGACAATTTCACCAAGATTTGCCTTGACTTATCAAATATTGGTGAAAAACTTGATAATGAAAACATGGCCATAATTTTGTTAAATGCTTTACCTGAAAGCTACAGAGAAATAAAGTCAGCTATCAAATATGGAAAAGATTCACTAACATTAGATCTTGTTATTGATGCACTCCGATCAAGAGAATTAGAAACCAAAAATTCCAAAAGGGAGTCAGAAGCACTTTTAGCTAGAGGAAGAACTAAGTTCAAGAACAACCATTCTAAATACAACAAAAATTCTCAAGAAAGGAATAGATCGAAGTCAAAAGAAAAAGACAAAGATAAAGGGTATTTTTATTGCCACAAATTAGGACATCTGATCAAGGACTGCCGCAAATTACAACATAAAAATCGAAACCAAGGAAGTAAACAACCTCAGTCTTCAGCAAATGTGCATCAGGAGTATGGTTCTGCAGAAGTTTTAATGATATCAGAATTAAATCCCGCAGAAGAATGGATATTAGATTCAGGATGTTCATACCACATGACTCCCCACAAACACTACTTTCAAGATCTGATGAGCAAGAAGGTGGAAGAATGCTTATGGGAAACAATCAACAATGTTCAATCAAAGGCATAAGTGTTGTTCGATTAATTCTTCCAGATGGAATGGAGAAAATTCTACCATCAGTAAGGTATGTCCCTGACTTGAAACGCAATTTAATTTCTTTGGGGACTTTAGACAAATCTGGCTATAAATATAAATCAGAAGGGGTACACTAAAGATCTTCAAGGGATCTTTATTAAAGATGTCAGGAACATTGAAAAATGGCTTGTACATATTGAATGGACACACTAAGAATGACTCTGCAAGTGTAGCTGATGCAAACATAAATCAGGAAGCATTACTATGGCATCAAAGACTTGCTTATGTTAGTGAACATGATCTGGTTGAATTGTTTAAACAAGAGTTACTAGGTAAAAATAAGTCTAATAACTGTTGGGTACTCTGTCCTAAAACTCGTAGTTTGTAAACAGTGAACATTAATGTGAGGTTATTCAGACAAATGTTGTTAAATGAAAGTGAATTTTTTTTTTTAATAAATCCAATAAACTACGAACCCTTGGCTATTATAATGAGTACTTGGACTTTATGTGGAGACATAAACTGGATCAAGTTCAAGTAAATAGCCTAAACAGTCTATAGTACAT